CATGTATTGTGTTATATTATATTTCTGGAAAATTTAAGGGGTAGTTATATAATAATTTTGGACGATCTCGGGCGGTCAGATACTTATGACCGCTACTGTATACTGTAAATCATCCCACAACTATATGCTGATAACTCAAAAAGTTAGAACCAATTATAGTTAACCATAATTTCTAAATACAAGTTTATCGTTTTCTTTGTAAAAATTAAGATGTATCAGAAACATCTAAGTGTGATGGAAATATTTTTCAAACCTCGCTGTCATATATATCTGGTATTAAACTGATTCTAATATCCTGATTTGTCCACTTTTTAAGAAGTTCTTCAAATCCTGATCTCTAAAACATTGTAATTAATTGTATTTTCAAATACGGTAAGGTATATATCATTTTTAGACACCACATATATCCTTTAACAGTTAGAATCTTTTTCAAGAATACAGTTTTGCAGGATTTATATTAGATTTTTATTGAATGGTTTGAAAACTCAATATGATCGCATTTGAATTCTGATTACTAGTTTTTTGATGAAGTTGATAAAATAATATCTGACATTTTAAACAATTTATTACAATCAAAATATATTACGTATGTCTTGAATTGTTTCTTAATTTCTAATAATTTATATATTATGTAAGATGTTGTTGAAAACTCTTGGAATCATGTTCAATCAGCATCCATCAAAACATATTTAAAGAACTTTATCAAAGCATTAATGGTAGTATCTGAAATTCAGAATCTTTCTTGTTATTTGAATATCCAAAGAAGAATTCATAATTCATCAAACTCAATATGTATTTTAGGGTATTCAAGATCTAAAACAGTATCTATATCATCATAATCAAAAGGAGTATACTGCTCATTGAAAGTATTATTATCATTATTTAATACTTGTTTATATCATTCATTAACGGTTCATCAACATCCAAGTGGAGAACATCTTCTTCATTGCTAGTTAAATAAGAAGATTATTCAGATTCTTTATTCTAATTAATTCTGATATTGTTTACTTGATGAAACTGATTGTATCTTCATCTTTTACTCATCATTGCTGGATAAAGCTAAATTGTGATCAAACATCTGGATATCTTCACTAGAATTTTCTTGTTAAAGAGATTTAGAAGTAACTGGTTGATGTTTTACTAATATAGAACTGGAAGGGATTCTCAATCTTGGATCTTTGATGTGATACCACTTCTTTTCTTTTTTTGTTAGATTTTTTTGATTCAGATTTTTCCAATCGCAATCTTTCTTCTATTGCATAATATTTGTTACGAGTTCTTGAATCAACCTAGTTACTATCACACTTTTTACAATTACGTCGTACTTTAGATCTTACTTTGATAGTCTTGGTAGCTATTAATATAGTTGATTGTTCTCTATTAGGATGTCTGCTTGTAAATTCTTTAGACATTTTTTATGATAATAGAAAGTATAATAAAGAAATATATACATTACAATATATTAAGTATATATATATATATTCATTTGAAAGTTTATTATAGACAATATAATTAACCTTTAATGGATTTTATAATTTCAGCTGAAATTATTTATAAGTTTTGGTAATGCTAGCAGAAATGATCAGTAATTTTCTCTAATGTTAATTTATTTGTATTACTGTCTGATTTATTTTGATCAAAGCAATATTATAATATTGATATATAGCGAAATAAGGATTAATAAATTTATAAAATATATTTATTATTCAGTTAATAAACAAATATTTATATTATTATTTGAAAAAAAATAAAATACTAAATCAGCCTCTGAATTAGTATATTGAAAATACTATTAAAATAATTAAAATGATTGATCACTAAAAATACTAATGTATATAACTGATTGGTATTAAAGCTTGATTATTTTATCATATAATAATTATTATAATAAAAGCTTGATTTCATCATATGATAATTATTGTAATTCTTTATAATAAAGCTTAATTGTTTTATCATATGATAATTATTATCTAACTTTTTATGCCTAATATTTAAAATCATATAAAAGGATTCTGTTTAATCATCTTTAGATTGATCTCAACAAACTTCTTTTATCTCAATAAACTTCAATAAATATTCTCTTTTATTTATTTTTTTACATGATTAGATATAGTAAAGGTAAAATGAAAGCTACAGATTCTTCTGACTGTCATCACAATAAAAGTCATTCTAAAAGTCAAGAAAGAAAAGGTGAAATGATATACACTACAAAGACTCAAAGAAGTACAAGTATTAGCAAATAGATCAGTAATTTTCATTAACATTCGGATTGCTTCATATTTTATGTTCCTAATATTTCATTTTACATAAATTTCTGATTAACTAAAAGAAGCTATAACAAATACAAATACAATTAGACCTAATCATCAAGTTTATTTGAATTCTGGATTCAGACAATGAACTTCATAAAAATTATCAGAAAGTAAACGGAATGAAAAGAAAGAGATAATGGATAAGTAAGACTAACTAATTATCTGATTGATGTATTGTGATTAAACAATGCATAAATATAATTATAGTAAAATATAATAAATATTATTTATTAATCAATAACAACTCACAATCTAAATATTTTAAATAGAAAATTTTGTTAAAATTGAATTATTATAAATATACGATATAATATTATATTAATAATCAATAAAAATAACTTATTCACTAATAATATAATTTTTATATTGAGTTTATAATTAAATATTATTAAATAATAAAAATAACAAACTCATTAATAGTCATATATTTTTTTAAATAAAAAAATTTAGAAAAATTTAAATTACAATAAAAAGTATAATTAAATACTATTAATTAATATGAATAACTTACTATTTATTAATTATTAAATATTTTTTTAAATTTAATTAACTAGTATCTTACTTTCTGTAATATATTAATATTTTTTAGTAAAATAATAAAGTTATTAATTAAATTAATAAAATAACTTACCAACTAAATTATTTATATTTATTATATAATAAAGGTTTAATTAAGTTTAAATTATATAAAATATAATTAAATATTGATTATTAATAAAATAACTTACTAACTAAAATAATATATTAAAGAATTATTATTATATTTTGTAAATAAATAGATAATAGATAGAATAAAAGTTTATTACCATTTAATTCTCTTAATGTAGGGGCATCAGGAACATCTGAAACTGGCTCTGTTAAATGAATTTATTTTGAGACAAATTTGAAGTTAATTACTAAATATTATAGTATCATAACGCATTTAGATAATTATAAATGTTCTTTACCATCTAGTCCTTCAAATAATTTGCTATTGTATTTACCTTCATCACTTGAGATTGATTCTATATTTAAAATTTTAGTTATAAAATTAACGAATTATAATATTTATTATTATATTATTGTGGTTCTTTACCTTTGAATTATGGCACTTTGTAGTAAATATTAAAATAATTATTGAGAAAATGGATTATATATCGTTTATAATAATAATTTCCATCGTTATACTTATCTTCTAGTAGAGACCTGCATAAGTCCAAATTTTGAAGCCCGGCCCGGTCCAGACTTTAAGCCAAGAATTAAAATGCAGGCCCGGCTGGCTCAGGGTTAAATTCGTGTATTAAAATGCCAGCCCAACCCAGCCCAGACTTAATTATATTTGCGAAGCTAAATTTAACAATTAAATAATTTTATTTTATTTAACATATTACAAAAATTAAACATGTATTTTTTTTATAATTTTTACTTTGATCTATGATTGCGAATCCATCACAATCATCTGCTTCACCAGACTCTTTTTTTAATCAATAAACTAATATGATTAAATTATAATTCCAGAATAATTAATTTAACAATTTCAAATTATAACTTTTATTACTATTCGGATATAGTGATAGAGAAACATGAATCAAGATTTTTTCTTTCGATATTCTTTTTTTTTTGATAAATTAAAAAAGTAAAATTCCTTTGGTAAATAGTGAATTTTGTTCAAATAATATCATCGTAACTGGTTATCGCGTGACGGCATAAATCTTTGCGCTATTTTACAACATTGATTGAATTACAAAATGATTTCTTACTACAAGAAGTATTAATTATTCCTAAAAGATCAACTTAAGCACTTAAATTTTTGGAATGGCCTTATTTTGATCGGAAAAACACTATTACATAATCATTATCATCAGAAGTGTATAACGCTAATTATACTCGTTACATTTAATCCTTAGAATTGATCAAGCTAAACAAGAAAATTTTAAAAATTACAAATGGGATGATGAGATTCTCCAAAATAGCTATCGTAATCTTTTCCTTTTCCTCTGATCATGTGTGTGATAACGACCATTGCTTCATACAATGCAAATCATAAGAATTATGATATCGCTTTTAAATTTACGAGATGTTTCGGATTTGAGAAAATGGGAATACTACCTAACTACAACTACCAATTATAACTAACATGATCAAAATATTATTTCATTGAACTTTTTTTTATTTCTGATTTATTTGCTAAAGCAAAATTGAACACAACAAGTATTCAATTTTTTTTTTTTAGTGCAGTAACAAATTTTTATTATTTTTATTAGAATGAATAAAAATACAAAAATGCAATTGATTAACAACAATAAAATAATCAGTGGCGGCTAAATTTTATTTAAATAATGATTTTTGCCAAAATTATAAAAAAATCCGGGATGGTACCTTGAACCCGGACCCAGCCCGAAAATTTCTATACTAATTATTTTCCGGGCCCTGACCCGGCCCGTTGCAGGCCTCTACCTTCTAGTGTAAAAATTTTATTGATACTCAAAACTTCATTACAACATTGAGATAAAAATTTGAAAAATCATTAGTATCCTTTGGTTAATGTTTTAAAAATGATTTCGTCAATATCCTTACCTTCAAGTAAAAAATTTTATAAATGTATCGATAATTTATAAAATTTATTATGGTTAGAAATGATTTATATTTAACTTCATCAATGAAAATTGATTCTAATGAGCTACCTTCTAATTCTTCTTCTAATGAAGAAGTTTTCTTAACATCCGAAATCCACTCTAATTTGCAATTTTTTTTTAAAAAAAAAGAAACCATTTAGAATAAATAAAATAATACAAATATTTCTTATTTTATTCTTTATTTTTGTATGGGTGAAGATGTTTACCTTTATCGTCAGTCTCATTGCCCATATATCGATCATTTTATAGATTTTGCTAATTGAGAGGCGTAGTGAATAAAATAATAACGATAGAATAAAATTTTGCATCAATTTCCTAATCATCCTATTTTACTCATCAAAAAGTCCGACTTAAATCATTTAAGTGGAAACATACTTGTCACCAATATATGGGTATGGGATGGGCTAAAGTCCCAATCCCATCCTATCCCAAATCCATTCCTTAAACCAAATTTTAAAAAACAATATCGACATTGAAAAAAATTTTTTATATAGCTTTCTTTAAGAACCCAATTAATGATCATAATTTAATGATATTTAGTTCATTAGCTTCGTCTTAATGAGAATAATCAAATGATTATTATTTTATTTTTGTTAAGTGGGATATTGATTTAAAATATATTATAAATTAAATGGGATTTGGGATTTGGGATTCTACAGTATTAGGTATAGGCAGCAACTATAAGTGGGAACCAATTTATTGGATTTCCAGCTAAAAATAATTAAAATGGTATGTATACATGCGAAAAAAATCTAATGTTTAGTTTATTAAAATTAATTATAAATAAATTAATTCAAGATTGGACGGTCTTTTTTTATGAATTTTGACGCGAGAAGTTATTGCAAATTCACTTAAATAAAAATATGATTGTTTAAAGTGGATAAACAATACAAATTTCTATGCTAAAATGAAAAATATAATAAATCAATTAATGAAAATCGATAATGAATACGAACATAATTTATTAAATGAACTACAAAGCGCTAATCATTAAATCATGGTACTCTTGAAGATAAACTTTATCCTACAATATATTTCTTATTTAATCGGTGTATTTTCATATTAACATAACATTCGACTCTACATATTTATTTATGCTCAAAATTATTCTAAACAATTGTTCCCAAAAAAGAAGAGAAGAGTAAAAATGTTAGATGCATCAACAATAATCTTAATAAAATTCTGAAAATTTTCATATGTTGGCGAATATCAATCAACAAAAAAATCTAATTGGAAATATGATTTAATTTTAATAATACAAAGAAATAAACATCATATAAAAGTAATTGATTGAAAGAAAGTTGTGAATTTCCATAGCGGTGAGCATTCCTGAAAAAATGATAAAGTTTCCGAAAGAATTGGACAGCTTATTAAATTCTTTTCATATTTTTACAGAGGAAGATTCCTCTTCCCGGAGCAATAAATATTTTGAGTTTTTTATGCAGTTGATGATCATCAAGGAATGTTCCAATGCAGATTGTCATT